CCAGCCAGTGTGCACGAATTTCCCGTAAAGAAGGAAAAAGCTGTGTTTTCTACAACCACTGAAGAAAATGAACAAACGCTCTTTGTGTTACCCTGATCTTAACTTATCAGTTGAAACCACTCTTGAGATTGAGGGGAGATGGGTTGTTGAAAATTAAGTCGCAAAGCTCAAATGCGAGATTTGGATGGCTTGTCCTGAAATTAGCATTCTCTGAGTGTCTCCATGGTACATAGATTTTGCTTTCTTTTTGTTTTTGCTGAATTTTTTAATCTTACTTCTCATTTTGGGGGGTTCATAGTTTTCAGTTTCTAGCGCAGTATCATCATTAACTTGTGCCAGTTTACTACATGGCTTTACGTATTTGATATTTATTTTATTCTTTTTTCCTCTTTTATTCCCGATTCCAGTCCCGTCATGAATGCTCGATCTATTATGTGTGATGTGTGTCCTTCAAGCTTATGTGTCTGTCAAGACTAGAGAGCTGTTTGTGAAGAATGTATTTTTGCATTGATGTAAGTGGCATCCCCAGCTTATCACCTACGTCTGTACATCCGTCAGCTCACCTGGTTCCTGCTCCTCTCTGCTCGTCAGCAGCCACTGAGCTGTTTCCGTCCATCCCCCGGCGACGGGCACTCCCACTGCTGCCCCCTCCCGGCCGTCACCGGCTATGCGCTGACGGACACCTGCTGCCGCACCACCTAAGCAGTTCCCTGCGAATGTAATCCGGGTTGCTGGTCACAGGGAATACACCTGCATATGTTCATTAAATGCCGCCAGTGCTGTGTAACCTGACATTTTAATTTTTACCAGCCAGTTGGCTACCAAGCAGTATCTCATTAGTCTATGAGATTAGTGGCTCTGGTCAGATTGTTAGGAAGCTGAAAGTCTCTTTTTGTGCTTGGTATCCACTGATGTCTCCTTCAGAGACTTGCCTCTTTGAGTCTCAGATACAGCAAAAAGGAGGTTCGGTAGGAGAGGGTTAAAGCATATGTTAGAGCCAGGCTGCCTGGCTCTGCCGTTTATTGGCTGTGTGACCTTAAGTGAGTTTCTTCATATCATCCAACTGCGAAAAGTAAAAGCAGCAAGTGCTTATAGGTTAGTGAAAGTGAAATGAATTAATATATGCAAAACACTTAGGAGAGTGTCTGGTAAATAACAGACATGCAATAAATGCTAGTTATTATTATACTATATATCATTACACTATATATTATATAATACTAAGCATATTATTATACTTCTTACTATTTACAGTAATTTATTGTTATAAACATAAAGATAAATAAAATAACATAAACATAATTAAACTATTAAAATTATATTATGATTATACTAATTATTATTATTAGTTTTCTGTTGACCTGAATGAGTTTCTGTATTTTAGATACTTATCCTTTGTGAGTTTTGCCTGATACAAATACCCTCAGCAAATCTATCATCGGTCAACTAATTCTGTCTCAAGTATCTTTCCTTAATTGGAAATTCAAAATTTTGTAGTCAGATTTTTGTTTGGCCATACACTCTGGGTACTTTGAAGTCTGGGTTAAGAAAATGTTCCCTTCTCCAGTTATTATAAGAGCATTCTATAGTTTCCTCTTAAGTTGAATTTCAGATTAGGGGTTGGAGTTTCAGGACTTCCCTGAATTAATCACTCAGTCTCGTGTTCCTTTGCTTGCTGTACTTGGTATATAAGGTCCTAGAACAGATTCAAGATACAGAGAAGGTTGGGAGAGAGTTTATTGGTTAGTTGGGGAAACAAAAGGTTATGATATTTTTATGCTGAATTCAATAAGCCGAGTGGGTGCGGACAGAGGCGTGAACTGGTGGAGAAAGCTCCATTGAGGAGGTGAGACTTCAGTTGTGCCTTGAGGGAAAGGGGAGACACAGAGGCAGACAGGAGAGGGGTGGGCATTCTGGAGAGGGAGGTTACATAAGGGGGTGAGCAAAGCAGAGAGGTGCAATGGAGGGTGAGATGGGACAGTGAGGAGACTCCTCTGAAGACAAGTATTGGTGAAGACGTGGGGGGCTTTGAAAGGGGATTCAGTATGTCATACAAGGGAGTTCATCATTTGTGTGTGTGTGTGTGTGTGTGTGTCAGAGAGAGACCAACCAAGAGGGGAGTGGTGCTAACACTGACATCAGTGTAGGTAAAATGGGGGGTGGGGGATAAACTAGGAGGAAGGGAAGTAGAGTGACAGTGGGACAATGAGCATCAAAAGGGTCTTCCTAGGCAGCAGTGAGGACCACTCCCAGATCGGGTAGCAGGGATGAAAGTGCACAGTAGCACAATATTTTGAGGGAAGAAACAAACACAGGTGTTTGTAATCTGGAAAATATATCGCAGAGGCGAGCTCCCATGTTTCCAAGCCCAGGGTTCTGAAGAAGGGGACCCCTCCCTGGGGTGCCGCAGCCGGGTCTCCAGAGCAGTTCCTCAAGCACAAGGTCTTAGTCAACGTGGGCCTGTGCACAGTAACTGACACGCAGCAAGAGCTTGACAAATATTTAATGAAGACATGAACGTGTGGACTGGGAAGCCACAGTCAGACACTCCAAGGAAACCTTCTCTGGACAGTGGAATACAAACCACGGGGTGGAGATCGGCGTTGCCCTGCCCCACGCCCCACTCCAGTACTCGCTGGAAGAAACAAGAAAGGTTAGTAGAGGTGACAGAGAAGGAACCACCAGAGAGGTGGGGAAACAGGGAAAATGAGCATCTTGGAATCGCAGAGTTTGGAGGAGTTTGGAGGCACCATCAGATGTCGCAGAAACCACTCGGTGGTCACTGGTGGGTTTCTGGAGAGCAGAGCCCAAGGACACTGAGTCTGATGGTATCTATTAACGGAGGAGGACATAAGGGCACCGTGCCGAGGACGAGGCACCCCTGCACTGCACTGGTTTTCCGTGGCATTAAAAGTCCTCGGGAGGTGTTTGCCCAGAGCAAAGGGCAGGCGCAGCCTGGTGGGTTTGGGTTGGGGGGCACGTGACCTGGACCCAACCCACAAGAATGAGGCAACCTGAGTGTTGGACCTGAGACCACAGGGGACTAGGCATTAGCTGGATTTCAAGAATCCAAGTTTAGATATTCTTTGAAAGAACTTCAAGGTACCTGGCCTGCCCCTCTCAGTTTGCATAGATTTCAGGGCTGTATCTCAGCTACCTTTGCAAGTGGAAAAGTATGTGCTGCTATGCAGCAAGCTTCAAAGAGGATCACCAACGAGCCACAAAGTATTTGGGTGGACGATCGAGCTTATTCCAGCATATTTAATTCGGGTGTTATGCAAAAATGTTGCAAACCCATTTGAGGAAGGCTGCCGTGAATAGCCAGGGCTCGTCGCAGCCTGGCCGTGGTGACAGGATCATCACAAAGTGGGAGCGAGGACGAAGAGGACCACGTGCTCTCAGTTTTCTAGGTTTGCAAAAAGAATGCCAGTCACCATCTTCTCCACGCAGCTACCAAGTGTCCCATGCCATTTATCCGAGTCCCAGGACGAGGGTATGCCCTGCTGGGAAGGCAGCAGCTACACCACCCCGCAAGGAAACTGTAATGGGCTCAGCTCCAAGGTCTGGCACACAACATGCATCAGGTTTTTAGTCAGGTTCCAAGTAAAACTCAGAAGGCAGCTCGAGCTCCTGCTGCTCCTAGCAAGGCCAGCCAGTCTACTTCCAAGGCATGGAGGTGTTCACGTAGTTTGTGTGGAACCCAGTGCTCAGCCTCAATCATCTTTAAACTCGTTGATTTCTTATCATATCTGTGGTTTCCCCAAGGTCTTTTTTCCTTGAATGGGCCATCAGAATGGGCCATGGGGCCATGCTGGGATTCTCCTTATAGTCTGAGTTTAGGCTTTTTATGTGCTGAAGGACGACACAGAATTCTGAAGCTGCACCCCCTTCACCTGGCAGCCCAAGACGTGATGGGTGTGTGCGTCTGGCTCACTCGAAAACTCTCCTGGCTTCGTCAGAAAGAGCAGGCCAAGGTGGAGACAGAATGACAGCATGGTGCACGGAGCTCTTCCCATCCCAGGGGCCCTAGTGATGCTGAAATACCGTTAAAAGTCCAAATTGCCAGAGGGCTTCACCTTGCAATTATACGCATCACTCAATCTACACGTGGGTAGGAATGCCAGATGGGTGTATGTTAGTAAGAACCATGGGCCTGCTTTACTTGACTTTTTGAAGGTCCTTTGAACTATCTGAGGGTCTGAGTGCCACAGCGTTTGTAAGAGAAAACTTAAAAGATGAAAAGGAGGTGAGGGGACTGCTTCTTGGGTCAAAGTCATTCGTGATGATCCAGTTTCCCTGGAAATTAGCTCCTGGAAAAATCTCGGGTCAATAAGAGCAATTTCCCTATGAACACTTAAACATCCAAGTCAGAAATCCACCCAGAGAGTTCAAACCATGAATCATTAATGCATACCACATTGACAAGTCTAATGATGCCCATCCTTGATCAGCTCATATCGTGGGCAATTATACTGGCCGAAGAGAATTCAACTGAAATAGAAATTTTCAATCGAAATCAATTGAAAGGGTTTTGTTTTAAGAATTCTCTTCTATAAGCAATGGTCCAGTGAATCGACTTTTCCATGCCACCTAGTCTATTTTTCTGATGTACCTCCAAACATAAGCATGTCAGAAAGCGACCCAAAAATGAGGCTGGGGTGAGAAGAAATTGCTGATTATGAAGACGGTCAGGTTTCTGTGCTACACAGACGGGGCAGCCACAGCCGGCACCTCGGGCGGCGGCGGGGTGGGGGGCTCCCCCCACAGCTGTTATTTGTGCTGTAGTGATTGCCGGGCAGCAGGGACCACCGAGTGACCAGCAATGACTGGGATGAAGGGGTCTGGGGATGGGAGGCGTGCTATGGAGCACAACTGGGGGACGGGAGGGGTGGGGGTTCAAGCATATTTCGGCACAAATAACAACTCCAACATACACTGTTGCAAGCAGTGCGTTCGACTGAAACAAGCTTTTCAACACAAACGACTCATCAGAAGGAAAGTAAGGTCGCTGCTGGAGCTTACCAAAGGTTTATTTGGAATGACACAGCACTGAAAACATAATCGTTACAGATGACTTGTGGATACAGCATACATCACCTACTCTTATTTCAGGACGATCGGTGAAGATGACTTGCATAAATATAAAGAGGTGGAAATATATAGGAGCTTTTGGAAATACTGTTCTTTGAGGGGGATGGATTTGAATGCCCCGCCATCTAGCCAATCTCAGAAAGGCAGAAATTAAGACAATTGAGCGGCTGATCCCAACTCGCCGACCTCCAGCCACAGAGGCCGCACAGCGAGACCATCAGTCAGGCTCTGCCTTCCCCAAAGCGGCAGCAGCTCTGACGTGCTATTCCGTCATCGCATCCTGAAAAAATGCACGTTACGAACACAGATACCGTCGACTGTTTCGGCAATGGGGGTGGCTGGTTTTGCCCGGAGGCAAAGCTGCAACTGTAATGCCAGACAGAATAAGAGCAATGCATGTATCAATGACACTTGAGCGGCAAAGAGCTACCATGGAAGGGGGGGCGAGTGACTATGCGTATGCAGCCTTGTGCATACACATAGACCCGGCAGTGATGGGAACTAGCTTGTGTGACCGTGTGTCCATATAGAGAGAGAGAGAGAAAGAGAGGCGTCTCGGAAAAGAACACTGAAAACTTTTGCAGCAGTTTCGTTTTCAACACAGTAAAACGTGAAAGGGGGAGAGAGCGCGTGCTCACACCTGCGCAGGGGAGTAAGAGAACCTCGTCTTACAGGACAGTGCGTCACGTCTTCTGCAAGGCAGCCACTCAACACCACACACTTGGCGCAGAGAAATTAAGGTTCTGGTCTGGAGGAAGCTACTTTAGAACTGGCGGGAGGAGGGGGAGTCGAGTACACGAGTCTTCACACAGCTCGGACAAAGCACAAAGAAACCTGTTATCGGTAACGTGGGAACCAGTGAAGAGTTTTTTCCTTAATTTACCTTTTTTTTTTCTCTCTTACATGTGTTTGCATACATGCTCCATTGATATAGCCTTCCAAGCTTCGTCTGGCATCAGTCTGTAGATCATTTAGAGTGTAAGGGCAAAAGTGAACTCTTTAGGTTTGCACAAAGGTTTAAAAACCCGGTCATGAGGCTCTTTCTACGATACTTTTGGCCCTAATCCAGGCGCCGGGTGAAGTTCTCCGGAAAGAGGCCTTTGTAGGTGGCCAGGTCTCTGTACTGAAGCCAGTCTGATTCCTTGACTCCTACCAGCCAGCCTGCATCCTGCAAGACAGAGACAGGGCTTTCAGAGTCCCACAAACCACTGGAAAAATCTGCACAGGCAACAGTCAGTAAAATAATTGGTTTCATTAGTGTTGTGGTCTTGCCATGAGGATGTCACGTTACGTGTAAACTGCTGTGCTGAGCTCAGTGGGAAGGCTTTTCCCAAACAAGCTGTTAGCTAAAAAAATACATATTTGAAAGGATTTATTGTATGCATATAGTTAATTGAAGGTTAATATTAATATTGTAATTTTGTATAAAGGATAATCAATTGACACTAACTGGATTATGACATAAGTTCTTAAAGAAGAGGCAAAAATTAGAACTCTAGCCAGTGCAAGAGGAACACTGTGTGAAAACGTCACACAGGGGAGAGCAGAGCTCAGTGGTAGAGCACGTGCTTAGCATGCACGAGGTCCTGGGTTCAATCTCCAGTACCTCCATTAAAAATAAATAAATAGGTAGATAAATAAATCTAATTACCCCCACCTCTCCAAAAAATGTTTTTTTTTAAAGCCAAATCTTAAAAAAAAAAAAAAAAGTCACATGCTGGAACTTTTCCTGTCCTGTGGATCACAGTGAAAAAAGGCTTGAGGACCCCTGGGTTGGAATATAGTGCTGACAAGGCCATGGAAAGTTCTTTTATTTCATCCTCAGCCGCTCACTTCTAAGCAAGAACGCTGTCTGCCAGCTCTCAGCACCTAACTGAAATAAGCCACCACACACAAGGCTTAGCGAATACTAACAGCTTGATATGTGTCGCCTCTTACCACTGTCGTGTTCGTGGCTGCTGTTGACGAATTTTTCCAGTTTATATAAACGACAGAGCAGTCTGATGTCAAGACATTCTCGCTGGAAACCTTCTTAGAGCTTTATAAAGTCATAAACATCTATTGTATAGGTAGGTATGCGCTCATAAGAATAGAGACAGCCGCAGAAAGGTTAAAGAACCCATCTACGTGTGGGCAGACAGTGCGGGAGACCAGACGTAAAACTGAGAAACTGAGGCTGCTGTCTGCCCTTGGCCAACTCGAAGTAAACAGAGCCCAGTTGGGAAAGCAGAGTTGCAGAAATAATATTAGACATACAGACCGTATGAAGCGAAACTGGGGGAAATGACTATCTTTATTATGTTAACCAGTCCAGGACAGAGACCCACTTCAGATGAGAAATGACCGGATTTAATCTGAGCCAATCCCCAAGAGAGTTCAAGTACATCAGATAAAACGAGGTCTCAAAAATTAAATAAAGAAGCTGAATACATTCCCTCTTGATATGATCTGAGACCATAAACTGATGCCGCTACAGAGACGAGAAATATACTCATTTAGACAGACCAATTTTGCAAGGCAGAAAAACATAACATGGAGGAAAAAAATGACTCCATAAAAATAAAAATAACTGATAATATCCCAGCTGATGAGGGAAAGTGTCTTCCATAAAATTATGATGTTATGTATGTGAAGGACAAAGTTATATTTAGAGTAAAAGATGATCACTAAGTATCTTCTACATGTCCAGTGGGCACATAAAAGCTCATATTTTCCTCTCAAGTGTCTACATTTGACTGTATTTACAGCGACCGAAAAATCTCCTGGAGCCAATTGGACTCACGCATTTTAAAATAGTTTCAATCAAGACAAAAATAAAGGGCACAGGGAAATAGATACAAGATCTCGTGGTAGCTCACAGCGAAAAAAAATGTGACAAGGAATATA